ACAACCGCTAAACATGTTTCTACGACAAAAGTATGAGAGTTACCTTCTTTGCCCTTTTTGAGGAGAGGACAATCGACCTTCCAGTGCCCTGACTTATTGCACTTGTGGCATCTACCTTTCGGCTTCTTTGCCACAGCCTGCTGAGGCACTACCTGGGTGCTCTGTGCCTTTGCCTTTCCTGCAGCCTTCTTCCTCTTCCTGCCCTTGTGAGGCCTGAAAGGTCCAGCTTGCTCGGCAATCATCACAACTGGTTTCTGAGTGAACAAGGCCTCAACCGGCTGGAGTTCTGACAACAGTTCTGGAAGAGCCATATGCATCTTGTGCATGTTATAGTTCAACTGGAACTGATCAAAACTCTTCGGCAGAGATTGGAGCATGATATCAACCTGGGTTTACCCGTCAATAAAACCTCCAAGAACCTCTAGCTCATTGAGCTGCGCCATGACCTTGAGAGCATGCTCCCTTACGGGTGTACCCTCTACCATGCGCGTGTTCATCAGAGCACTTAAAGCCTCTTGTCTTGCAGCCCTCGACTGATGCCCAAATAGTTCTTTGAGGTTCAGAAGCATATCTGCAGCAGTGGCCATTGACTGATGCTGATGTTGAAGGACATTTGACATATAAGCCAAAATGTAACACTTCGCCATCTCATCAGCCTTCTTCCACCGAGCATACTCCTGTTTCTCCTCATCTGGGGCATTATCAGTCGGCACATCAGGAAAAGCCTCAGTTAGCACATACTTATAGTTTTCAGCAGTCAACACTATGTCTAAGTTCCTTTTCCAATCAATGTAATTAGGACGGGTGAGTTGCATTTCTTTTAGGATAACAGACAACGGATTGAACAACATGATAAATAAACCTGAGAATCACAAAAATATTTTACTGATTAAACATTTTGAATTTAACTGTTAATATTGACATCCTCAAAACAATACTAACTTAAATTCACCGACATCTTTAAACCTTGAGAATTTAGTATGATGCTCGGGCAACTCTACTAATTCTTCGTTTCTTTAAAGAAGGGTTTTTCCAGAACCCATTAATTTCCATTAGTCAAAACCAATTTCATGACAAACGAAATTAATAGTCGGTCACCGTTTGGCCATGCAATAAAAATCAGGGACCCCTCGGGGGATTTTGAAATGAATCGCATTCTAAGTGAATCCCATTTTTCGGTCCTAA